AGGGTCTCCAGCTATTTAGAGCTCTGTAAATTAAGTGCCTTGAATTAGCAATAGCCCGTAGACTTATATACCCCCCAAAGCGCTTTACAGCCCCTGTCTGAGTGGTTTAGAGTATCAGCCTGTTGCCCCCCAACAATCTGCATCCTCATTTTATCGACCTCGGAAAGATGGAAGACTGAGTCGACCTTGAACTGGCCAGAATTGAACTCCTGGCTGTGGGCAGAGTCTGCCCGCAGTACAGCACCTTCTAACCGCTACCAGGGCTCCAGAATTGGGCTAAAACAGGCAGTCCTCGCCGTTTATTGAGAATGAGTAGGGTATGATCGTTCCTGGTGTCAGAAGGATAATTTGGGGGTCCGACTCCAGGCGGGGTTGCCCAAGAAAAGATGAAAACGAGATCCAGGCAGTTGTGAGGAAAGAAGAAATATTTATTCCTAAAATATTTAGGAGCAGGCTAAGAAATGGGGGTACAGCAGCTTGAAGTGTCTACATGCTGATTCTAAGGTAACATTTGAGGGGTTTGTGTGTCTCTGTGTGTGTGTGTAGGTATGTTTATTCTTGTGAACACGCAGTTCCTCTGAGAGAGCTAATTTAATTAACTCCTGTGTTTGCAGACCTTATTCTTTGATATGTAGATTAGGTCCTGGTAACTTATTTGGGGGTTTGAAGAAGTTTAAAGAGAGGAATTTCCCCCCGTTTACTATTTTTACTTGATTAATTTAGTTTCAGCTTGACTGTCAACTATCTAGTGGAGACACTTGATTCTCTGACCCTTGTGGGTTCTGTTAATAATTTAAGGGAAGATGGAGACCACATAAAGAGTGACATGGTTAAGTTAGTAACACGGCCGTAAAGTGAACCCGGCTTCCCCCCGCTGACTTTGCTTCTCGGAAGCAAAGTGATCACGGGACCCCGGGACACAGCAACCGTCACAGGTACACGCCAGTTGCCAAGCGTCCAAATTTTGATCACGCGACCTACGGAGATGCTGCAACCGTCGTAAGCGTGAAACATGCTCCTGAGACAGTTTTTTTTCAGTGCCGCTGTAAGTTCAAATGGTCGCTAAACGTACTGCTGTAAGTTGAGGACTATTTGCACACCCCAAAACAACATCTTGGAGTCAGTAATTGCCCCTTCGGGGATGCGGGCGATTCAAACCAGCGGGCACGCTGTTTAGAGTAACATCATCCCCAGGAACACACTGCAAGTCGAGATAACGAGGACTTACGTTTGTTTGGGTAGCTGAGCAGAGAATGTTTATACACTGCAGATGTAACTAAGGACGTGCGAAGGTCTGATGCTCCACTTGCTTTCCCACTAAGCATATTGTGGTGTGTGATTTTTCTGACGTTTTGTTGCATGTTCCAGCTCGGTTGTTTATGGTGAGAGGGGAACGGCTGCAATTTTTGACCCCGCAAGACTCCCGTGCTGCTCTTTCAGAAGACCAGGCTACCCACCACCCCGGACCTTTAAGCTCTGACGTGCCTAAGCACGCACAGGAGGTCCTCGGCTTACGGCCACAATGGAGCCCGAAATTTCTGTTGCTAAGTGAGACATTTGTTAAGTGAGCTTTGCGTCATTTTGAGACCTTTCTTGCCACAGACGTTAAGCGAATCCCTCAGTTGTTAAGCTAGCAAGATGGAGGGTGTTTATTTATTTGTATGTGATGTGTATGCAGGGCTGTGGGCCTGTACATAGGTTGTATATAGTATGTTTAGGGGTGTGTCGTGTGTGTGTTTCACTTTGAGAGCGGGCAACTAAATTTCATTTTTGATGTGTGTCGTTGTGCCCACAGTAAAAAAATGACAATAAAGGTTATCTTATCTCATCTCCCCATCTTATCTTATCTTATCTTGTCCTGTCCTGTCCTGTCCTGTCTTGTCTTACCTTGTCTTGCCTTGCCTTATCCTATCCTCTCCTCTCCTCTCTTCTCTTCTCTTCTCTTCTCTTCTCATCCTATCTCATCCTATCTCATCTCATCTTATCCTTATTCCCCACTGACATCGCTTCTCGCAAGAGGCGATCCCAGGACCCCCAAAACACGGCCATTGTCATAAATACGAGTTAGTTGCCTAGCATCGTAATGTTGATTCTAGGCCAGTGGTGGGGAACCTATGGCACGGGTGCCAGAGGCGGCACTCGTAGCCCTCCCTGTGGCCACACGTGCCGTTGCCCCACCCTTGCCTCCCCCCGTGACCCCCTCCTCTCCAGCAGCCCCCCTGGAGGAGAGTCGCCCCCAGGCGCAGCGCAGACAAGACTCCCAGTTGATGCTGCAGGGCGGGGCAGAGGGTGTGGCCGCCATGGCGCTGCTGGGCTGCCTGGACGATCTGCGGCCGGCCCTGGAGGCGGTGAGTGGCCCTGGGGGCAGGCGGGGCAGGGAATGGGGGGCCAGAGCAGGGGCGGGGCAGGGGGTGGGGCGGGGCCAGTTTTTGGGCAGTTTTCGGTCTCTAAAAGGTTCGCCATCCCTGTTCTGGGGCCATGGGGATGCCGTAAGAGTCCTAAGTGTTAAAAACAGCCACACTTTTTTCAGTGAGGTTGTAACTCCAAACGGTCACTAAATGAATGGGTTGATGAGGGTGGCGGTGTCCCAGGATCACGTGGTCACCTTTGGTGACCTCCTGACGGGCAAAGTCAGTGGGGGAAGACAGGTGCCAGGCCCACTGAAGGGTTCCTAACTTAACAACAGCTGTGGTTCACTTCACAGCGGTGGCAAGAAAGGTCGTAAAGTGGGGCGAAGCTCCCTTAACAATTGTCTTTCTGGGCAACATAAATTTTGGGCTCCGTGGTGGTCGTAGGTTGAGGACTGCTTGTTGTTGAGAGCTGGAAAGAGCAAAATGCACTAGAATAGAATAGAATAGAATAGAATAGAATAGAATAGAATAGAATAGAAAATGGAATAGAATAGAATAGAATAGAATAGAATAGAATAGAATAGAATAGAATAGAATAGAATAGAATAGAGAATGGAATGGAATAGAATAGAATAGAATAGAATAGAATAGAA